AATAATAAATAATTATTATTTTTTTAATTCTATTTTTTTATTAAATTTATTAATAATTCTATAAATTTTTTTTTTCACAGTTCGATTGGGTACCCTATCAGACGTACATAGACGAGGGTCGGCTCCCTGAAGTGTGCACACAAGACCGACATCTCTGGATGTACAAGGGGTGGATCTTCTGCTGGAACATCGCAGAACCCCACGAGACTGATAGGGTGCTCCGCCAGTTTCGGTGCCACCAGCCCATCCCCCAACAGCCGCTCATTACTAGTCTGGCCGACTGGGACACCCGCCACAAGGGCCAGGGCATGACTGGGAGGGCATACACCGATTGGCAGGCCTTCCATGCTGATCTTGGGAGGATCTGGACCGAAGAGAGAGATCAGAACGTCCTCCAAGATGTCCCGGTGGATCCCTTCCTGCAGCCGGCAGATGGGTACATTGATTGGTTTCACAGTAGGACTGTGAGACTATTCAATGACCCCAACAACTACGCGGCGATCTCACAGGACGGCGGGTTTCAGCCATATGCCGACCGGGAGAAGTGTCAGGTAACTGTCTTCAATGAAGTAATTATTATTATTATTATTATTTTTAATATTTGATAGTTATTTGAATTTAATTTTGCAGTTTTCGGGTACGGAGGTGGCGTATAACATGCTAACGAACATTGAAGACATTGATACGCTACCTCCCCGAGCGCAGTCACAGTTCCAGCAAGCCCAGGAACTTCTGTACGCTTCTCTGACTGTTGGGGGTCAGTCGGTCACACAAGGGGCGTCGTCGGAGCAAATTCTATCTCAAGATGAGTACGCCCCACCCCAGCATACACATTCTCAGCGGGCGAGGCATAGACCGGCGCCCCACATTGGTGGAGGGAGAAGACGCCGTGACCACGAAGAAGGTGAGATTTTTTTTTTTAACTACAAATATATATATTTTTTTTGTTTCTTTTTATTTATTTGTCCGGTCGAATTATTGATTTTTTACAAAAATTAATTAATTAGATGGACAAGAAGAAGAAGAACCAACCACGCCTGGACCGACCGCAGGATCGTCTTCTTTGCAACCGGGGCCTCGGAGAGGGTCCCGAAACCGCAAGGCTAGGAAACCATTTACTCCTAGTTAGTTTGTTTTTGTCTTCTATGATTTTGTGGACATATTTTTTTATTTTTTTTTTTTTTTGTATTGGATTTTCAGATATTTATTTTTGATGGTTTTGGGTACATATTTTGTGGTTCCCTTTTTTTTTTTGTCGGTACTTATGGTTGTCTTTTTCTATATAGTGTTTCATATATGTATGCATGTTAGATTTTATCATTTGACGAATGAATTGATATTAAAATGATATTATTTATTGTTCAAAATGTTAAATTGAAATTTATAAAAAATCTTAATATTGAAGGATAAGAATAAAAAATTCAGTTAAAATAAACGCAACGCGATCGCTGATAAACGAGTTCGTGAACATAATCGAGCCTTAAAAAAATAAAAAAAAAAAAATAAATACATAAAAACGGATTCTTAGAATCCGTTTTTTTTTTTTAAAAAAAATCAAATAACAAAAACGGATTTCGAAAATCCGTTTTTAAAACAAACTCGGATTTAATTAAGGTTAATCACTTAATTAAGTAAAAACTCACTTAATTAACAAAAAACGGATTATCAAAATCCGTTTTTCTTTCGGGATTAAGTAAAAACGGATTCTGAAAATTCGTTTTTCCCTAAAAACGGATTTTCAAAATCTGGCTGTTTTACTTTTTTCCACATTTAATTTTTTTTTATTTTTTTCCACATATTTTTTTTTTTTATATAAATAAATGATTCAGCAGTGAGGTGTAGATGCGTTAGGTTTCTTTGTTAGTTTGTTTAATAAAATGATCAGATTTGTTAGTAGTTAAGATTTTGTAAATCTCTTACAAAAACAAATAAATAATCATTTATAAAATAAATTTATTAATGTTTATGTATGGTAATAATCTATATAAATAATATGTTGAATAAAAAAATATTTAGTATGTGTATTGAATTTTATTAAATATATGAATATATTATACAACGCGACATAGAATTACCTAATTAAATTTAGGACTATTTAGTATGAGATTTCTTTAACCACAATAAAGCTTTGACAATATCGGGTGAGATATGGGAATGGAATTGTATTGTGATTTTAGTTGTTTATTTTTATTATAAAATCGTGTTGAGAATTGAGATAGCTAGATTTCAGTTTGTAAAATTATGGGCATACATTTCAATTAAGTGAACAATGTGCACAGGATTGCATAGATTAGATAAATTCAAGACATGCGGCAATATATGATAAATCCAATAGTTATGTTAAACAATTTTGTACAGATTAATAACCATATTTATCAAGATTCCAAATTTTAAGGGCAGTATTACTGCTACCCAATTTTCTGGCAACATTTAATGAGTATCTAAAAAAATAAATAAAAATTACTATGAATGGCATGTAATTAATGATGACTGAATTTTGATCAATAATTGACTTAGTATTTTTATTAAATATTAATTTTTATTATATATATATAGATATAGATATCGATAGTGCGTTTTACCATCGATTATCTATCATTTACTAATCTACATCTACATGTATTTAATAACTACAAAATTATTCTGTGACGGAATTATAGTGATTCCCATTAACTGAAAAGGTAAAGGAAAACTATTGAGTCCAAAAACAATGGGGTGAGCGAAATTGATGGAGTAATATGGTTTGCTTCGGTTATTTTGAAGTAAAAGATAATTGATTTGATTTTTTTATTTGTTGCGTCTGTTTGATACGGTTATTTTTTACAAATTTGACATTCAACCTTTTTTGGGTTAGTTTCTCTTGATGGAGCGATTGCGGACGTGTCCGTTTGAAGAGAATTGAGTGTTTATTCTATGTACTTTTCTTTTTTTTCTTTTATGTTGTAGTGTGTGTTTACTTTAGTTTTTGCTAGTCTTCTTTGAGAGTGCCTAATCTCAAATATGAACAGTCGCGGTCTCATGGGTAAAGTAGTAGAGATTATGTTGTTTGTTAGTTGTTTTTATTGTGTTTGTGTTGTTTAGTCTCTTGGTAATCTATATAATCTCAAAAATATTTTTAAATATTAATAATATTAGTAGAATATCCGTCCAAGGGTGTTAGTTAAAAAAAAATTATATTTAAATTCTCAAAATGATGTAAGAGAGAAGTTTTTATTTATTTATTTCATTTTTAAATACCCTTTAAAAAATCACATGATTTGTCTGTCTTATATTAAAACTAGTGTGTAGTCCGTGCGATGCACGGATAAACAATATAAGGGTAAACAATATTAACTCATAGTTGTAATTAAGATGTAGAGTTAATATGTGACGTAATTTATCGTATATCAGTTGTAAACAATATTAAATTATCTTGTATAAAATAACATAAAAAATATATGTTTAAAATATTAAAAACACCTAAAATATTATATAATATAACGTATGTAAAGTATCTAAAATTTAATATATTATTATTGAAAGATGTGATTCACCTAAAATTTTTCTAAACTATTTTATAAATAAAGCATGTCTAAAATTATTTAAAAAAATCTTGTCTATAATATATTATTCAATTTCCAGAATATGATGATAACTATAAGTTTGAATTTTAGAATTCACGTGAGTATTATTTTTTAGATCCGTGTACTATACAAATTATTCATTATGTTAATTTTCTGTGAACTTCATATTGATTTATTGATTTTATTTTATTTTCATACAAAGCTGATCGTCTCATTTTGTTTTACCATATTTTTGTGGAGATTTAACAAAGTCGATTGTATTTATAAAATGATTTGGAGATCAATATACAATTTATAATGGAGTTTTCAAAATTGTGTATTATTAACAAATAATATATTATCATTGTTTCTTTTATTTTAAATGCACAATTATTGAGAATGAAAATTTGAAAATTATTTTACCTTTTGAAACCGAGTATAGAAACAACAATAGATTAATAAACAAAGTATTGATAAACATTACAAAGTGATATTTTAAACACTACAAAGTATTGAGAAAAAACAATATATTATCACACGTTCCAAATGAAAAAATTGTGATGATCAGTGGAATATGATATTTAAAGAATAACATTCAATATTTTTTTGAAAGGAATAAATATAAAGACCGATATTCTAAAATTTTTATTACCTTTTGAATTGAGATTTTATAAATATAGAGACTGAGATTTTAATGTTTTTCGTTGTTTTTTAAGAAAAATAATAAAAATAATAAATACACACTTATAGATCTTAGCTTAAATTTTTAAATAATAAACGAATTGAAGCCTAAAATTTAATGTAACATTTAATGTTGTATGAATTTTTAAAGATAAAAATAAAAAAAACAATAAAATTTACTATTTATATGTTGCATTAAATTCTTTCCTATTTATTTGCTACTATTTTTGTTAAATGTTATTCTTATTATATATATATATATAGATAGTTTTTCTAATTCATATAAAATGGATTTATGGATAATTTTTTTTAAATTGATTTATAATTTTTTATTTTTAATTAGTATTAATAAATAATTTAATTTTATCATAAAGAAAACTAAATATTTAATTTAATTTATTGTTGCAATATAAATTCTATAAATGAAACTTTGTTAAAAGATGATTAATTGATACATTAATAATAGAAAATCGACTCTTATAGTCAAGCACCAGTACACCACCATAATTCAACTCATAAGATTACGAATCAAGATATACTATGTATAAAGGTTATACAGAGAGGGAGGGGGATATATTATGTAGGGAAAAAAATAGCATAACATTAAAAAAAATTAAGTAATACAAAATATTTTAAAATATAACGCCAGGTAGGCGTTGAATACCCATCCGTGTGAGTCATAGTCCCATGGGCTGGCCAATCACAGCCCGTTCTTATTGCTGTCAATAGACCAGTTTTTTCTTTGTTCCTCTTCTTTTTCATTCTCTCCGTTTTTTGTTTTTTGTTTTTTTTTTTTGTTTTGGAAGCTTTGAAAGAACTTCGCAAGATTTCACCTTTCCAAGTTGAGAAATCTGAAGAAGGAAGAGATGGGCTGGATCGATGAGACAGTCGCTTCTGTAAAATCCATTCAATTACGGCAAGCCCTTCATCAAACTGTCACTCTTGGTCTCTCTTCCTCTCCCTCTCTCTATTCATATGTACATATAAATTCTTTGCGGCCCTCTTAGTTTCATAGTTATTTGCTAATTTGCAGAGTTTTTTTTAGTTACGATTGGGGTTGGTTGATGTTGCCCTTTTATTTCTGGAGGAAAAAAAGATATGTTCTGTTTTGTGTAAATATGAATGCTAAAACAGCCGGCTCTCTTTGAGGCTCATCCTTAATTACTGATGCGTTTGGATGATTTTGTCATACTCTGGCCCAAGAATTTAAGGATTAGGGGCCAGAAGCTTATTGTGTTGGGTCTGTAGGCCACTACTTGGAATGTTGATTTTAAAGGTTTGATCTTTTTTGTTTTCAATTAGATTGAAACCATGAGAGACTATTTATCTTTACCTATTGTGGTTTCATGGTTCTAAAAAAAATTGATGTTGTTTGTACTTGTGGAATTGAGATGTAACGTGTCTAAATGCTTGTTGTTCGGAATCGAAAATGTTGTTGGTGGTGGTTCTGGATTAAACTACTTCAAAGTATTTGTGCTTTCTGTGTTGTTGCTAGTGAGACTGTGTGAATATAATTCTTCCCTTGTCAAATTAGGAACGGATCAAAATTTTACAATGTCGTAGGTACTTCAGTTTGGTTCATGTTCAAAATTGTCTTGAATTTCAGGATTATCCTATAGAGAACTTTATTACAATCACACACCTTTCAATCTGTACAGAATAAGATTCGTATGACTGACATCATCTCTAATGGACCCAATTGTTGGTTTCTTCATGTTATTGCATTATTCAAGACCTGAATTTTTCTTGTCTTGATTTTGCTAGAGCTCGATTCTTTGCAATTATATACACATAGGCATGTCGCATATAATTTGGAGCAGGACTTTTACAGTTTTTATTTTTTACCTAACGCCAATTGCGGCTGTGGGACTTAGGAAGGGTACCCACAATGTGTATATATGTATATTTTTGGTATTTTGGAGCTGTGATTTGTAAGCCCACTTATTCAAAGTGCTGATTCCTTTTTCTTTTATCATCCCTTTTTTTTTTTCTCTCTGAACTTAAGGTATGATTGTTTCATCTGCACTGATTATATGGAAAACATTGGTATGCATTACTGGAAGCGAATCACCGGTTGTTGTTGTTCTTTCTGAAAGCATGGAGCCTGGATTTGCTAGGGTATGGCTGCGTAAATTTATATATTCCTTAAATAAAGAACTTAACCTTTAATCCCGAGACTTTATTTGGATCTTGAAATCTAAATGCAAGAGCACTTAAGAATTTACGGTTTTCTCTGTTTTACCGCTTACCCAGTCATGAAATTGATGTTATATCATTTTGTACTAACAAATTTCCTTTACAGGGAGACATTTTGTTCTTGCATATGCCTCGAGACCCCATCCGAGCAGGCGACATTGTTGTGTATAACATTGATGTAAGAATTTGTTCCATCTTTTTTGTTCCTTTTCTTCACTTCTTAATCCGTTTTTGGTTTTCCTCGTTTGGTTTATTAGAGAAATGAGAACCCACCTCTGAACTTCCTACTTATGTCCCTATCGCAATCAAATTATGGACCAAGTTCTCATCATTTTATTATTGCCAGGATTTGCTTTATATCATTGAATGTTATGCAACTAGTCTAGCATCATATACATATATATGTTATTTCTTCTTGTTGTCGTTTTCAATTCACATGCTT